TTCACGCCCATACATCAATATGGTTGTCATAATTATTTGATTTTACAACCATATCTTCTTCAAAAAATGAATATACATATGGAATGGTACTTCACGTAAGACAGATTCAGTGATCTCGATATTTGTTTTTCTGGTTACATAAAGTGTCAGATGTTTCATAGATCTGAAAATGTCTTTCAGTTGTCCTTTTTTCATGGAGACATGTTTATATTTGGAATGAACCGAGAGAAATGACAATGATATACTATTTATAGTTAATCAACAATGAGCGTGATATGGATATTCCTAAATCACTTTGAACAGTACTTATTTTTGCTAGTAGACTCACAGAATCTTTCGTTGAGACTATAATTTATAAAAAAAAACATCTGAACGATGTTCAGGTGCCTTTGAACTCCCATTGTAGCTTCACGGGGGCTACTGTCGGTCCCAAGCCCGGATAAAAGAGGAGGGTTGAGCATGAGATTAGCGACCCTATCCCGTAGAAAAATAACTCGCTAAAGAAACGCTAACCAGAAAAAATAAATAATTCAAATGCCTTTGAAAATGTCCATCTACTTGTTAGGGTTAAATGAAAGTTATTAACCTGTGTGAAGAATAAGGATTATAATTTACAGTTGATGGTTAGAGTTAAGAATTAGATTTATTGTTTTCATCACGAACGGACATCAGCTATAATGCCGAAACGTTCTTTAACCAAATAGATGAATGAATTTTGTGCCAAAATCCGAGGTCTGTCATCCTGAATCTGATTGATTATAGTATATCCAATCTTTCTCTTCAGTGGTACTTTGATTGGATAACTGAAAAGATTGTCTACTCATGTTATTTTATCTTTTTCATTGTTTAAGCTGAAGTAGTTCTTTCAAATAAATTACATTCTTGTCGGCATTCCAGGATCATATGGGTACTAATAAGTTAGTAGTATTTATCCTTCCTACATGACTATTCTTAAAACATAAAATTCTGTCCTGTGAATATTTAACTAATTGTTTACTATGAATCTGTTATTGAGTACTGTTATGTCATTTTCAATGAAGTATCCAGACACACTGTTCGGTATGTACTCATAATAGCGGACCGTATTATCTTTCCTGTATCAAAATGGATACAAAAATAAAATGAGAAAATCAGCTGCATAATGAATAGAATTACGAAGGGCTTGAGGTTCTTTTTAGATACTTCAATCAACTCACAATTGTTTACTTAGTTATCCTGTTAACTCCACCTGGTATTGTTTACTTGTATATTCTCACGGTTATTTAGGACTGCAACTGATCAGTCTTTTATTAACATACGTGCATCCTGTGCTGACTATCTCGATATTGTCTTAAGTCACAAGCATTATAAGCAAAGATGGATGTTAGCTATCAGTGAAAACCAGAATGCGCGTTTCTTCCTATTCGGGGCTCGTCAAGTGGATGTACCTTAAGCTCAGAGTTGATGCTTACTGCAGAACAAACAATACGAAGTAAATTTAAAATTTACCCTTTGCATAAGCAAGTAACTCCGCCTGTAGCTCCTCTGGGGGTTACTGCAGGTCCCAAGCCCGGGTAAAGGAGGAGGGTTGGGCATGGGGTTAGCGACCCCATCCCGTAGAAAATCAACTCTCTAAAAAAACGCTAACCAGAAAAAATACTTCAAACCATTTAAACTCTGCCCTGAGAGTAGAAGGAATAATTATGACGTCTCATGATGAAAGCCGAGTTCCTTCGGAAGTCATGAGGCCGATGCACCTTCTTACAACCAGAGCGACAATTTTTATAGGTACATGAAATGTCCGGACAATGTGGGAGACCGTAAGAGTCTTCCAAATTGCTGCAGAAATGAGAAAATACAACCTGGAAGTGCTTGGAATCAGTGAAACACATCGGACGCAGGTTGGACAACAACGACTATCTTCAGGAGAACTTCTGATATACTCTAGTCATGAAGAAGGAGATGCCCCACATACACAAGGAATGGCATTGATGCTGTCCAGAAAAGCACAAAATGCACTTATTGGATGGGAATCTCATGGACCAAGGATCATCAAAGCCTCCTTCAAAACAAAGAGAGAGGGCATTACAATGAACGTCATCCAATCCTATGCGACGATCAACGACTACGATGAAGACGCTAAAGACCAATTCTATGATAGGCTGCAGTCGATCTTCGACCATTCTGATGGGAGATCTCAATGACAAGGTTGGAAAGGACAACACTGGATACGAAGACGTCATGGGACAACATGGACTGGGAGAAAGGAACGGAAATGGTGAGAGATTTGCAAACCTATGTGCATTCAATAAATTGGTCATAGGTGGCACCATATTCCCACACAAAAACATACACAAAGCCACTTGGATTTCAACGGATCACACTACACAGTATCAAATCGACCATATCTGCATCAACAAAAAGTTCAGGAGGACGATGGAGGATGTGAGAACCAGGAAAGGAGCTGTTATAGCTTCCGATCATTATTTGCTGGTCGCCAAGATGAAAGTAAAACTCAAGAAGCACTGGAAAACAGCGCGGACAACATCACAAAAGTTTAATACGGCCTCTCTTCGAGATGCTGACAAACTCAACAAATTCAACATAGCCATCAGCAACAGGTTCCATGCCTTTCATGATCTACTCAATGGAGAGGGAACTACCATGGAGAGCAACTGGAAAGGTATCAAGGAGGCAATCGTTTCAACATGTCAGGAGGTTCTGGGCCATAAGAAGCACCGCCACAAGAAATGGATCACTATTGGTACACTGGATAAAATTGAAGAAAGAAGGAACAAGAAGGCAGCAATCAATATCAGCCGAACAAGAGCAGAAAAAGCCAAGGCACAAGCCGAATACACAGAGGCAAACAAGCAAGTGGAGGGGAGCATCAGAACCGACGAACGTAAATATGTGGAAGATTTAGCGATGACAGCGGAAAAGGCTGCAAGCGAAGGAAACATGAAACAATTGTATGATACAAGAAAGAAACTCGCTGGAAATCACCGTAAACCAGAACGACCAGTGAAAAGCAAGGAAGGCAAAGTAATCACCAACACTGAAAAACAACGGAACAGGTGGGTAGAACACTTCAAAGAACTTTCGAATCGACCAGCTCCACTGAACCCACCCAACATCGAAGCAGCACCCACATACCTCTCAATCAATGTTGGCCCACCAACAATTGAAGAGATCAGCATGGCCATCAGACAAATCAAGAGCGGAAAGCAGCGGGACCACACAACACCCCGGCAGAGGCACTGAAAGCAAATGTAGCAGCAACTGCCAAGATACTACACATCCTCTTCAGTAAGATTTGGGATGAATAACAAGTACCAACAGACTGGAAAAAAGGACTTCTGATCAAAATACCAAAGAAAGGTTATCTTAGCAAGTGCGACAACTACAGGGGCATCACTCTCCTCTCAATACCAGGAAAAGTCTTCAACAGAGTATTGTTAAACAGGATGAAGGATTCCGTAGACGCCCAACTTCGAGATCAACAAGCTGGATTTCGTAAGGATAGATCGTGCACAGATCAAATCGCAACTCTGCGGATCATTGTGGAACAATCAATTGAATGGAATTCATCACTCTACATCAACTTCATCGACTAAGAGAAGGCATTTGATAGTGTGGACAGGACGACACTATGGAGGCTTCTTCGACACTACGGCGTGCCTGAGAAGATAGTCAATATCATACGGAACTCCTATGATGGATTCAACTGCCAAATCGTCCATGGAGGACAACTCACCGACTCTTTTGAAGTAAAGACTGGTGTAAGGCAAGGTTGCTTACTCTCACCGTTTCTCTTTCTCCTGGTGATCGACTGGATCATGAAAACGTCAACGGTTGGAGGAAAGCACGGGATACAATGGACAGGCAGGATGCAACTTGACGATCTAGACTTCGCGGATGATCTGGCTCTTATATCACAAACGTAACAACAAATGCAGGAGAAAACGACCAGTGTAGCAGCAGCCTCAGCAGCAGCAGGTCTCAATATAAACAAAGGGAAAAGCAAGATTCTCCGATACAATACAATATGCACCAATCAAATTACACTTGACGGAGAAGCTTTGGAGGATGTGGAAACCTTTACATATCTGGGCAGCATCATTGATGAACATGGTGGATCAGATGCAGATGTGAAGACACGGGTCGGCAAAACGAGAGCACCATATTTACAACTGAAGAACATCTCGAAATCAAAACAATTGTCAAACAACACCAAGGTTACAATTTTCAGTACAAATGTCAAGACAGTTCTACTGTATGCGATGAAACCCTGGAGAACTACGAAAGCCATTATCCAGAAGATACAAGTGTTCATCAACAGCTGTCTACGCAAGATACTTCGGATCCGATGGCCAGACACTATCAGCAATAAGTTACTGTGGGAGAGAACAAATCAGATTCCAGCAGAGGAAGAAATCAGGAAGAAGCGCTGGAAGTGGATTGGGCACACCTTTAGGAAATCACCCGATTACGTCACAAGACAAGCCCTCACATGGAATCCTGAAGGTCGAAGGAGAAGAGGAAGACCAAAGAACACATTACGCCGAGAAATAGACACAGACATGAGAAGAATGAACAAGAACTGGATAGAACTAGAAAATAAAGCCCAGGACAGAGTGGGTTGGGGAATGCTGGTCGGTGGCCTATGCTCCATTGGGAGTAACAGGCGAAAGTAAGTAAGTAAAGTAAGTATAAGCAAGTGGCCATCAGGACTCAGTAGCTAAGTGGATAACGCGATGGCTTTCGAAGCGTAAGGTACTGATTTCGAGTCCTGGAGTGAAGATCAACTGTGAGTTGCAGGTACATCCAGCTGACGAGTCCCAAATAGGAAGAAATGCTCGTTTAGGATTCCACTACTAGACACTATATATGTTTGCTTATATCCTGTTAACTGTTTCTGTCAATTATTATTGTCAATTTCAATCAACCAGACTCGCATGATATGATTTGTAGCGTATCAGGCAAGATAAACCATTCTAGAATAAAACAAACAACGAAATAGTTAAATCCACCGTCATTTTACTTTTTATAGATTATCACAAATCAAAATGATATTATAGAAAGATTCTTATCCAAGCATTCTTTTTTTGAAAAAAAAGAAATCATAAACGAAATAACGAAATATAATATTCCCTAATGATAACCATGCAATATAGTATTTATGATTCATGTTCATTCATGAAAATTTTAATATAAATAAACAAGGCACTTATTAATTAATCAGTAGTATAACTAAATACATAAAATTTTTAATGGTTGAAGAAAGTGATTTCTTTTTTATTTAGGAAAACGTTACTTTTTTTTCGAATAAAACTTGATTTTCAGATAAAAACAAGAAACAAATTCTTCTATTACGATAGAAAAAAAAACAAGATTCATTGTAACTAATCTTGGTTTGGTTTTTCATATTTGTTCGTTTGTTTGTTTGTTTGTTTATGTATTCCAACTGTGAAAATCATGACTAGTATATGTATTTTTTTTAAAGAAACATTTCCATTTATCTTGGAAATTAAATTTTAAAAGTAAAAGATTATAACTTTAAAATAAAAAAAATGAATATTATTTTGATTGATTATTCGAGAAGTTTTCCTTTCCCTCCCTCCAACCCCCCCTCTCTCTCTCCCTAAATACCCCCTCCCTTTCTCTTTGTTGTCATGACATTTAATCAATGTTTATTTTATATATTCTATGATGAATTGATTGAAATTTTTCCACTACCAGTACAAGCTCCACTATCTGATTGTGAATTTAATGTATCATTAAAAGTTTGTTCATTATGAACTAAACTATTACCATTACTATTATTATTAGTAGTAATATTACTATTATTACTATTATGTAATTTATTGATTAATGTAATTAATTGTGATTGTGATGATCCAATTGGTTGTGTACGATTTATATTAGATGATGAATAATTTTGTATTAAATGATTAGTTGAATCCATTGGTATCATATAAGTTGATGATTGATTGATTGATGAATTTATAGAAGGTATTATATTCTTTATGAAAGATTGATTCTGATTATTTTGATGATGATGATTATTGATTATTGGTGATTCACAATTAATTGAATTTGATGGAATTATATTGATTTCTGATAATATACTTGAATCTGGTTGACCAATACTATCAATACATGAATTAATACCATCTGAATTCAAAGGATTCATTTCTATGATATTATTCTGATTATTTAAATGATTTTGTAATTCTTTAAAATGTTGTTGATGTTGTAAATAGAAATTAGTAACAGCTTCAGTAATTTGTTGTTGTGATGAATGATTTGAAATTAATGAATTATTAGTGGTACCATTACGTTGGATACTAGATATTGATCGTCGATGAGTATCTATATTAGTAGTATGATTAATCCATGATATTGGTAATTGACCAGGTATAAGTGAAAATGCTGATATAGATTGTCTATTACCTGATTTACCATCTGGTAAATATCTTAATGGTATATCATTTGATAAACCATTTGATGATTGATTATCATTTAATATAAGTCCATGACAATTTAAACTATTTAAATATTCTGATCCATAATCAATAGATGGTTGATAAGATTCATAATTATTAGATTGTGGTTGAATTTTATTCATTAAAAATAGACTACTACCTCTTCCACTAGTTTTATGACCATCATGAAGGTAATTAGTTAAACGATGTTGTTGTTGGTGTTGTTGGAGTTGGTGTTGGTGTTCATGGTCTATCTTATCACGGTAACTATAACCTTTTCCATTAATTTGTTTAACAATACGGGCATTACGTATTTCTTCAGCCATACAAAATAAATGTTGCATATGTGGACGATCTTTAGATTCTGATATGTAAAAAGAAAACAAATGAGAATGTGTATTTATGGTTTGCATAGTGTTGAAGTTTATTAATTATAGATTTTCAATGAGTTGATCGTAGATGGGCACTGATGAGGAGTCCCACGATAGGACGAAACGACTGTCCAGTGCTTCTAGGTTTACCATGGTGGAGCACTGGTTTCTTCAAGATTACAGGTGCACCTTGCTGACGAATGCCAAATAGCACAAAACCCGGGTCCATGGATTCCTGTTGACCACCACCAACCACCATGTTATCTCAACATAGTTCATGCAGTGTTGATTCACCTAGACTAGTGGCCACATTGCAGTTTCATCGATACCATTCGATCAGCACTAAGAAGGACTTGACACGCATGACATTGATCACCAACCAGTGATCGATCACTTGTGACAGTAAATACTTCATTCTTAAAATGATCATCAATCGTTTCAGACTACATTGTTCTTTCGTTTCCACACTAATCATTTTCTGTTCTCTTTCTCTTTTCTTCGATCTTCTTAACCTTCTACCTTCAGGTGTTTCACTTTCGATTGATGATATATACTACTTATATCTATCGAAATCAACAGTACACACTTCAATATTGTTTAGAATGACAATCAAACTTTTATGATCATACTTATTCAAAGCAAAAAAGATAGTAACTTCAAAATATATTTTCACAAGATAACACAAATATATTGTTATCAGAATGGGTTTTGTGGAGATTTCAGTATTTTCTTAGTAGGTCCTTGGGTTTGAATCTCGTGAGGAGAGATCGTGAATGCGCACTGTTGAGGAATCCCATAATAGAAGGAAACGGTCGTCCAGTGCTTCTAGGTTTTCCATGGTGGTCTAGCTTCAATTGATTCATGCTTTCAACAAATACATTGAATTTATATTCATCCGTTCAGGATACTTTTTACTGGGTAATTGCAAAAACAAAGCAAAACATTGACTTACTGGAATATTGACGAATTAATGCACATCGAATACAACAGAACACATTCAGTATAATTGAAATGAACACTATGATAATTGCACCAATAATTAATATTTCACGTGTTAAAGCAGCTAAAAATAATAATAATAATAAGAAAAATGAATTAAGATTAGAAAGAAGCCTCAATAATTATAAGGAAATATATATTACTTACTTACTTACTTACTTACTTACTTACTTACTTACGCATGTTACCCGTCGTGGAGGAGTATAGGCCGCTCACAAGCATTCTCCATCCAACCCTGTCCTGGGCCTTTCTATCTAGTTCTATTCAGTTGTTATTCATCCTTTTCATATGTGCTTTTATTTCCCGACTTAATGTGTTTTTTGGAATTCCACTTTTCCGCTTCCCTTCAGGATCCCAGGTTAGGGCTCGCCTCGTGATGCGGTTTGGTGATTTTCTTAATGTATGTATCTCTTCATTTCCGTTGCTATTTGACTGGTCTTCCCGGTCTCTCACATTGTCCAAACGTTCCATGTACCTATAAAAATTGTTGCTCTGTTTGTTAAAAGGGTCATCGGCCTCATGTCTTCCGAAGAATCTCGGCTTTCATCCTGATGTGTCATAATTATTCCTTCAATTTCTAGGGCGGATTTTAAATGACGTAAATTGTTTAATCTGGTTAGCGTGTTTTTAGCAAGATTTTTTTCTACAGGATGGGGTTGCCGACCGTACACCCAACCCTTCTACTTTACCTGAGCTTGGGACCGGCAGTAACTCTGGAAGAGCTACAGGCGGAGTTGTCTACGCAAAATACTTAGAATCCATTGACCAGACACTATCAGCAACAATCTACTGTGGGAGAGAACATACCAGATTCAAGAGGAGGAAGAAATCAGGAAGAAGCGTCAGAAGTGGATAGGACACACATTGAGGAAAGCACCCAACTGTGTCACAAAGCAAGCCCTCACATGGAATCCTGAAGGTCAAAGGAGAAGAGGGAGACCAAAGAGCACATTACGCGGAGAAATGAACAACAACTGGATAGAAATGGAAAGAAATGCTCAGGACAGAGTGGGTTGTAGAATGCTGGTCGGCGGCCTATTCTCGATTTCGGGTAACAAGTGTAAGTAAATATGTATTATTCACCATTAAGGTTAGTTAATGAAAAGAACATTAACTTATTTACTAACTAATAACCCAATTATTCAACTAAACAATAGAGAAAAACAAAACATGGGAAAAGTTTTTTTTAATATTTAATTACTCTTTCTTGGGGTATTAGTCATAGATAGTGTATTATGATCGGTGCCGAAGGGAAACGAAAAAAGATAGTTAAATAGTAAACATAAAACAATTTACTACTCTGTTGTTATTATTCCAAAAGTTATTCTCTTTCCTTTTAATTGGTATTTTATGATCATTGTATTTCTTTTAAATGGAACATAATTTGTTTTAACGAGTTAAACTACTAAACTTATTTATTAGTAGTATAATAAAATTAATATAAATATTGAGGTAAAAAAAGAACTAATTAATATATACCCATTAAAATTATACAAACTAGTTTAATGAACAATTATCAATCAAATTTATGTATTCTCAGTATGGGGTTATGGAAATGATTAAGTTTTTTTTAATTGAGATCATAGATCGATTAATTTTAGACAATCATTGAAAAGCTGGACAACCGTTTCGTCCCATTCTGGAATTCCTCATCTGTATGTATCCACGATCACACCAGCGGAATTCGAACCCAAAACCTTCGATCTCATGAGCATATGGCTAACATATAGACCGTTATTCTCACTTATCTTTAAGGGGAGGATTCAATGAAAATTGACTATTTTAAATCATATAAAGCAACTAGAAACAATTGGTCAGTAATGCTCATAACAGAATTGAATGAAAAATCTTTGTAAGCAGCCTATGCTCCTCCATGAAGGGGTAACAAGCATAAGTAAGTAAGTAAGTAAGTAAGTATGGAAAACAATTTCAGTAGACAACAAAACAAAAATGAAAGTAAAGTATCACTAATATAGTGACTAATTTTAACCGGATAAATCAATAGAATATCTTTTCGACCGTACAATAGAAAAAAAAGTATAATATATCCCATTTGTTTACAATATATATACCCAGTTACTTATCATATTCTCTTGTTTATAATGATACTATTTCCTTATTGTTTTAATAAACATTAGATGAATACCTATACATAGATAACCTTAGATACAATGACCATTTCTCATTGAAACAAACAAACAAACTATCCATTTGATCAATGTTCAATAATATCTGAGTCATTTACTACTACAAAAAAAAGAATACAAAAGAAGAAGAAGAATATTATACCGCTAATAGTTTGTTGTTTTCCCTTTTATAAATGTCTCCATTGGACATCTATTCAAGAATATATATACATATACACATATATCTCTATCTATCTATCTATCTATCTATCGATCTATCTATATGTATAGGTATATAGATAGGAGCACATCTATTCGTCTGCCGCTTCTACAATATTCATTGAAGATTTCAACAAACACATTGGGAAGCCTATTCTATATGGTATATGTATACATAGAATAAGGATATATGGTTATATATGTATGAAGAGATATGATCTTACAAGTTAGTCATGAATTTCCCATAAGAACATACATGGGTAACAATATCAATGTGAAGGGAATGACTTTAAGTCAAAAGAGATAGGAAACAATTGTGTATCCCTTTCTATGGCTTTTTATGTTGGTTTAGTTAGTTTCATACTAAAAACAAAAACTGAAGAAAACCGAAAAAAAAACAACTCACAAATTAAATTCCCTTGGTATGTTCATAGTTGAAATAGTGAGTCACTTGAAGCTAGACCACCATGGAAAATCTGGAAGCACTGAACGGCGGTTTCGTCCTATTATGGGAGTCGTCAGCAGTGCGCATCCACGATCCCGCCTCTCGAGATTCTAACCCAGAACCTAAAAGTCTCGAGTGCGAGCTCTTAACGTATAGACCACAGATAGGTCATGGGTTTGAATGTCACGAGTGCGGGATCATGTATGCGCACTGCTAAGGAGTTCCGTAATAGGACGAAACGGCCGTTCAGTGCTTCCAGGTTTTCCATGGTGGTCTAGCTTCAATTGACTCATGATTTCAACTATGAAAATACTAAATTCGCCTCAAAACCCCTTCTGATCACTTGGTATTGTTTGTTTGAATCTTCCCATTGATGTTTACGACAGTGATTGATCAGTCTCTTATTGCGTTTGAGTCTATGTTTCATTAATAATAAGTATATTTATTGAAAAAGTTGGGATCTACCGAAAATCAGTCACTTAACAGGAGACACTTTGATATGTCGGTAGATACAGACTACTTGGTTGGTGTTCTCGTGACTATCGTAACCAATAGTTGGAGACTCTGGATGACATAGCTCAGATAGGATCATAATGGTGTCGATGTATACACTCTTTGTCTTCCCTTAAACAGTGAGATTGAAATTACTTTATATCTTTCTTTCTTCCTGTATAATATCCTTATACAAAATCTTTCTTTTATATATTACTACAATTAAAGTAACTAATTCTATGAATTTGGTGTTGATCTTGTTGTGCTAATGTGTGAGGTGTGGCAACTTGGATCAATGCGTATATATGCCTGGTCCTACATTATAGCTCACTGACTGAATCTTAAATTCATTGTTTTTAAACTCATTACTATTCGAACCATTTGCTTTGTTTACGATGAGGTCATGGAACAGGCGGAACAGCCAACATAATTTGACTGGTATCGTTATAATAGACAAATAGGGTCTCAGTGCCAAGGTGACAGACATTTACAGTTGGGAGTTCTTATTTCTTCATTACTGTTTCTTTGAATACAAACAAGGTCATAACTAATATGCTGTTCGTTCAAAAAAGTTATTAACTGATGTTTTCCTTTATCTCATCAATCGATAGTTTTGTTTCAGTACTGTAATAATTAGTGTCTCAAATCTTGAAAATTTTTAATGATCATACCTCTAAACTGTTGTAACTAATATTCATTTACTTCATCTCTGAAAGCTGTTTTCTAGTCTATATCAGTGCTCAATGAAAACTGTGTTTTTTTGAAGCATTCATGAATTACAAACGAAACATGACGTGAATTCAACAAATATTCAATCCGTGTCGGATAGAGACAGGTATCTACCTCAGACAATGAATGAATAGTTGCGCAAGATTATGTTTCGATTGGAGTTAGACATTAACATCGTTGGATTTCATATCAGTGATCCAGACGTTAAGCATTCTCGCTCGAGATCGAAGGTCCTGGGTTCGAGTCCTGCATGTGGGATAGTGGATGCGCACTGCTGAGGAGTCTCATACTAGAACGAAACGGCAATCCTATGCCTCTGGGTTTTCAATAGTGGTCTAGCTTGATTCAATTCATGAATATTCAACTAGTAAAATGTTTTAAAATTTACAACTTGGTACAACGATTCAAATGTCATACGTTTGCCAAAAATTAGTTGAATCTCATACAATAAATTATTTTATATAAATAAAGTAACGGGAAATCATTAATTATAGTTAATCCTTGTAAATGTCATGTATTTTAAAAAGAAGGCTAAAGGGTAAGAGATAATAAGCAAAGATCGATAGTAGTTAGTAGTGGACACTAGGAGGCGCGTTTCGTCCTATTTGAGACTCGTCAGCTGGATTAACCTCCATCTCAAACTTGTTGATATTCACCTTTGGGATTCGAACCCTATAAATGACTGATCAATTTCGCAGTCATAAACATCAATGGGAAGATTCAAGTAAACAATATCAAGTGAAGGTAAGAGATAATGTTTGTAACCTTTAACTAATCACCATTGGAACAAATCTTACGTATCCATTAATGGATATAAACAAACTAGTCTCAGGAAGAAAATGATAAATGATCAGTTTAAATTATAAATGTTTATGGATGTACCTTGAAAATATTCTAATCAATAACCATTAAGTGGTTACAAGAATTCGAAGTAATAGTTAGAAATAGTGTAGATCAGAGGGGGTTCGGTGGAGAATTTAGTATTTTCATAGTTGAAATCATGAGTTAATTGAAGCTAGACTAGTATGGAAAACCTGGAAGCACTGGACGGCC